TTACAGCAACGCACATGAAAAAGACCTTTAGTTGATTGTGATCTAGAAACTCGTGAGGTGAGTGGGGTTGCCCGGATGCCCAGAGGTAGATGGCTCAGAACTGCCAGTAAGTAGACTGTCCCGTCTCTGTGTGGGCACCTGTGACCCACATTCTAAATCTGGGATTAAGTTGGCCCAACGCAGGGCACATTAGGAGACGTGGGCCTTGAGTCATCTCATATGAGGAGGTCCTGCTGGGGAGAAGGGGTGAGGCACCCGGAGGAAAGGGCAGGGTGGCCTGCTCAATCTTAACCCAAGGGCTGACCGGGCAGCTTCCCAGGAAGCCCAGGATTGGGCAGAGATGCATGAAGGATGCCAGAAAAGGGACATGGCTAAAGCAGGTGCCTTCTAGTGCCCCTTCTCTCCAAAGCTGTGACTGAGCCAGGGGAAGCAGGGCTGGAGCCTGCAGGCCACACTCCAAACAGAATCCCCCCTTGAAGACCGGGCCCCAGTTCTCACTGTGTTTGCCTGAAACCAACGCCAGATTCTGAGTTGGCTTCATTCCCACTCAGAGGCTGTTAAGGGCTGAGTTACATCACCCCAAAATTCCTATGTTGCAGTCCTCACCCCCAGTACATCAGGATATACCTCTACTTGCAGACAGGACCTTCAACGAGGGGATTAAGTTAACATGAGTCTGTAGGGTGGGCTCTAATCCCATCTATCTGGTGTCCTCATATGAAGAGGAAATTAGGACACAGACACACACAGAGGGACACCAGCGAGCACACAGGGTATAGATGGCTGTCTGCAAGCCAAGGACGGGGGACACCACCCCTGCCAACACCTTGATCTCAGACTGCAGCCCCCAGGACTGGCAGAAAGCTGCCCAGTCTGTGGTCCTTTGTTGGGGCAGCCCCAGCAGACTAATACAGAGGCTTTCTACAACTTCGCGGGAGTCACATGTCCCAGCAGGGGACCATATCCCAGTTCCTGGGCCTCCCACACCCTGACTGGCAGAGCTGGGCAGCTGTGGGCCTCCCACAGTAAGCTTGCAGGGGAGGTGAGCCGACAAAAGCCATTCAGATCTGTCACGAGTTTAGCTCTTTTCAGAACTTGCATCCCTTTCGCTTTTTAACTCTCCTCCAGAGAAGCAGAGCCAGAAGCATAGCAGGATTAGCACGTGGCGTGGAAGGCTTCGCTGACCCCGGAACTCCGTGCATTTGCCAGGGAACGCGGAGCAGGGGGCCTGCTCCCAGAACAGTGGAGCCTCTGGCTTCCCCTTGCAGTTCCCAGCTCTGCCCAGCTGGGGGCCTCCTGTCATGTGGTCCCTGAAGCCTCCCCACCAGAGTCAGGGTGGGGGACACCTGCAGTGACAAGAGGTCTCCAGTTCACACACAAATGGGAATACCCTTCCCCATCTGCATGAGGGGGTTGGCCTGCAAGCGGCTCAAGGCCCCTGGGTTGGGTTCCTGCACTTTCCCTCACCCTAGAACCTCACCCTTCCTACAGCTCTTTCAGAAGGGGTGGCTCCTGCTGGGAAGGAATGAAAGGGTTTTCTCCCCCAAATAGCAGTGCCTGGTCTATGTAGGAAAGCTTATGGAAAGCCCTGAATGGTAACATAACTCAAAAAATGCTTTGAGAACAAAACTATCAGGCAACAATGTGTCAATTTATAAAGCTCTTGGGAGCAGAAGCCCAGCTGCAGCCAGCAGGGCCTGGTAAAGAGCCCCATGGGCGCCGTGGCCTGGAGGTTTGTTCCTGGGACAACAGGCACTTACTGTTAAGCATGGGGAGGAGGGGCAGGTCGTGGGAGAAGTTCAGGCAGTTGGCCACCAGCCGGGCCACCATGAGGTCACTGCAGCTCTGGCTGCAGAAGCGGGGGGTGTCCAGAGGAACTTTTAACCACCCACACGATAGCAATACCTTCTGCAGCTCTGGTTCTAGTGTGCCCCAAGGAACCACCCTGTAGTGCTCAGAGATGCTGGGCAAGGTGTAAGGGCCCGAAGAGTCAGGCCTTACTCTGGCTGGAGGGGCGTGGTGGCCTCTAGGACTACAGCCAGCTTCCCATGAACACACAGGGGTGCAGCACAGAGACCTCCCTCCCCAGCACTACCCTCTGAGAACCTTTTGGGGCAAGCAAACAAAGCCAGTTCAACTCCTGTGATCTGGAGAAGTACAGCCCAACATGGCAGACTTCTCATGCAGCCAATGTGCGTATCCCTCATTCAGACACCACCTCCTCGAGGCCTTGTCGCTGGCTGCAAAGTGAGCTGGTTTCCAATCAGACAGCTTAGAACACCCTGCCCTTCAGGGCTCACATTTTCCCTTTTCTCTGCATTGCTATTGACAAAATCTCAGTGGAGCCCACAATCAGGTAACAGCTTTGTCCATGTTTTCTCCTGCTTTTGGAAGGTGCATGTCCTTCTCTTTTGGAAATACACGAGGACTCAGGAATTCCAGGGACACCAGGTCTGCAAGCTAGTCATAAATGGTTACAGAAAAAATAATTAGGATAAAGCTGACATGGCAAAATACTAATAATGGGGGAAAATAATCCAGAAAGTTAAAAATTAATTATTGCTGAATTTTATCTCAATTTAAAAAACTAATGTCAAGGCCAGGAGACAAGATGGAATCATAAAAGAACAAACCCAAGCCTCCCACCTGTGGTTATGTGGCAAGTCTCAGCAGCTGGGACTGGAGGGTGACCATCCCGCCGACCCTCAGCTTACTGGTGATCAAAGGAAAGAACAGTACTTAGCAGGACCTCAGGAGCCAGAGGCAGTTTGTGATGAGATGCAGTTTCTCTAAAGACCAAACTGCTTCCCTCCAATGAGAAAAAAAAAGCCTTTCTCTGAGGGGAACCATGTCAGCTCACGATGGGGCCCTGGAGGGCCAGGCAGGCACTTTTTGGGAACTTGTATGTGTGCAGGGTTCTCTCCTGCCTCCTGCTTTACACGGCTGCATTTGGTTTCATAGACGGCTTTTTCCACTTAACATTGTATCATGCCATTTTTGAAAATATGACTTATAGAGTGCACAACCAGTATTCAATGGCAGCATACCAGTTAATGGTGGGGTGTGGTCTCAAACTTAATGTTCCCTATTGCTTGGACATTGGGGTTACCTGACAGTGCCACACAAACTCCTTTGTACATAAAGCTTTGCATGAACTTTGGATTATCTCCTTAGATTAGGTCCCAATAAACAGAATTACTGGGTCAAGGGGTATGAACCAAATATTGTCTAAATGGTTTATTCCAACCTCTGTTGCCAATAACAATGTAGGAAAATACCAGTTTCAGTGACATTTATGATATCAGTAACCTATTTTTTTTCTTATAATTGAATGAGAAAATGGTGCTGTTATAATCTGTATTGTTTTGAGTATTAATGTGGGCTAAACTTTTCTCCACATATTTATCAACTGCTTTTATAATTTTGTCCTTTGTCCGTTTATCAAGTTAGTTACTATTTTTTTAATCAATTGATAAAAACCATTTTACAGAATGGAGATATCAACCTTTTGTATTGCCAAATTTAAAAATACTCTCCAAAGCTGGAAGGCTTGAAGAACAGGACTGATTCTCCGTGGGCTGAAATGGTTAATAAGTGGGTGACCAATTAGCCATGTTCAAGGATGAGATTTCTCATGCCATCAGGTCTTTCAGCAACAATAAACTGGTACAGCAAAGAAAGACACTAAAGAGTCCTTAGCAAGGCCATGAGCAATACAGTCTGAGAGGATCTAGGTCAATAAATGGACCTGTTAGACAGGTGCTCTATCAATTCTCTTAGACTAGCAAAGTCCATGTGCTAAGAGTTAGAGGCTCCAGAGAACAAACTGTCAAACTGTGATACAGGTAATATTTTTTTCTTTTTAAGAAACAGAGGGACTATGGACCCCTATGTTTATCACAGCACTATTTACAATAGCCAAGAAATGGAAGCAACCTAAGTGTCCATCAGTAGATGAATGGATAAAGAAGATGTGGTACATACACACAATGGAATATTATTCAGCCATAAGAAGAAAACAAATCCTACCATTTGCAACAACATGGATGGATCTAGAGGGTATTATGCTCAGTGAAATAAGCCAGGTGGAGAAAGACAAGTACCAAAGGATTTCACTCATCTGTGGAGCATAAGAACAAAGCAAAAACTGAAGGAACAAAATAGCAGAAGACTCACAGAACCCAAGAATGGACTAACAGTTTCCAAAGGGAAAGGGACTGGGGAGGGACAGGGAAATAAGGGGCATTAAAATTAGCACACATAATGTAGGGCGGGGGGTGTGGGGTGCACAGGGAAGGCAGTATAGCACAGAGAAGACAAGTAGTGACTTTACAGCATCTTACTATGCTGATGGACAGTGACTATAATGGGGTATGTGGTGGGGACTTGATAATGGGGGGAATCTAGCAACCACAATGTTGCTCATGTAATCATATATTAATGATACCAAAATAAAAAGAAACTTAAGAAAAAAGAATCCTACCTTACAGGTTTATCACAGTGTATTGGCTCCCTGATGCTAAACATTCTGCATGGTCCCAATGTTAGCTATAATTAACATCCTTAAAGCTGAAAAAAAAATAAAAAGAAACAGGGACTACAAATAACAGACAAGATGAACAGCTCCCATCTTTCTCACAGCCAGAAGGGGATACACACTCTCACAGAAGGCCTTTCCTAAGCACCACAGACAACGTTCCTGTCTGCAGGTCTCTGAAGCATCTGAGGGACTGTCTGAATGGCTCTTTGCAAAGCTCTTGATGTGAACAGCTGAGAAGCAGGCCATTTGGTTTCCCAGGGACCAGCTGGCCTCCATCCAGCAGCTCTGAGATGTGGCGGTCAAGTGACTCTTACAGGCTTGTGACCTCACTGTTGTGACACCCAGGTGACCTGTCCCTACCAAAGTGCTGACTGTCCTCAGTCCCTTGGAAAGCACTCAGATATTTAACAGAGAGGACCTATAATTAGGGCAGTATTTGGTGCTCTTATCTGGGGGAGGGAGAAGAGGGAACAAGCCCTATAAGATTCCTGCCTTGGGCTCAGCACAGGACAGCACCAGGTGTTTGGATCTTGAAATTGCGCAGAAAGAGAGCAACCTTCAGCAGGTGAGGGTTACCTGATGAGATGCTTTCACAACAGGGCAGGGCAACGCCTTGGTTTTCTCGACTCTCAGAGACGCCTGACAGTTGGTGGCCCTCTTCCAGACCAGCCTCTGCCACTGACCTCAACCTCAGAGTTGCTAAACTCTAGAAACTAGCCTAGATCATCAAGAACAGAATGAGAGACTGGGCCTGGAGGTCTAGAGATGAGCAAAGACAAAAGACAGACAGTCATTAGGACATTTTACAGCTGAGGTAGTGCACGTGCAGAGGGCTGGCCAGATGGGCAGCCTGGAAGCGGCTGAACGCACCACAAGTGCTGTGGTGTGGGGTGGGAGGATGGGATGGGGAACTGCCCCACTCTGCAACCTGGGGCAGCACCTAACTCATCTCACAGCCTGGAACCAGGTGCTTCTCCCCGTGGGCATCAGAGATAGCCAGAACGCAGGGAAATCAGGAGGCGAAGGGCGTAAGGTGTCCTCGCCCAGTTCTCCAGGCGCTGCCAGTTACCAGGCAAGGGCTCTGAGGGTGAGCTCTGGCCCCCGCACCCACCAAGGGGTTGCACCGAGGCACCCACATTGCGGAGAGGCTCGGCTTGGGGCAGGCACAAAGGGCGCCCTGAGCGGTGAGGCGAGGCACCCGTCTATCTCTTGGGCAAGCCTGGCATCGTCCTGCGGGCCCAGGCCTGCCGGGCGTGGGAGGGGTGAGACATGAGCGGCCACTGCCCGCTACACGCCTGGCAGGTCCAACCAAGATGCGGGTGCTAGAGGGGCGAGAGGGCCACAGGGGCGGCCCCCCGAGGGACCGGGAGCGGGAGGAAAGCAGCGCCGCCGCCACCACCCACCTGACGACGTGAAAGGCCCAGAGCAGGCGGCCGTCCCGGGGCCCGCGCAAGGCGCGGACGATGCTGAGGTACAGGTAGAGGGCGACGGCCACCGTCCAGAAGAAGGAGCTGGTGTTGGCGAAGGTGGAGAGCGCGCCCTGCAGCACGCAGTCCCACGAGGGGCCCTCGAAGTCCTGCAGCACCCCGTAGAAGTAGGAGGCGGCCGAGAGCAGGTCCGCCAGCGACAGGAAGAGCAGCAGTTGCCGCGCCCGGCTGCGCAGGTCGGGCCACAGGGCGTGCGTGGCCACCAGCAGGCCGGAGCCGAGCGCGGAGAGCGCGCAGGACAGCAGCACCACGACGCGCTCCGACGGCACCAGCTCGGTGGGCGGCGCAGGCGGCGGCATGGCGGGTGCGGAGGGGCCGGTGGCGAGCGCCGCGAGCACTCAGGCGGGACCGCGCGAGCGGCCACCGCCGTCTGGGCGCCAACGCGCCCGCGGCTCGTGTGCCGGCGCGCACCCCGCCCGCAGCCTACTTCGCCCCGCGCCCGGTCCCCGCCCCTCCCCGCTCCCGAGCCCCGCCCCTCCCCGCTCCCGAGCCC